TGGGGAGGGGGAACAATCATGCCGGGGCATGGAACGAGGCAACTGGGCTAAGTGTAAGTTTAATTACAACCTGATCTGTGGTGTAAAAATCTCAGGAACTGTGGTAGTTTTCTATTATATATTTTTACTCTGTGACAATGTGCACAGAGCATTTATCACGTTGATAAGCATATGCACTTGTAATCCAAAGGCTGTATTATGTTTTATGTTAGGCTATTTATCTACTTGCATCCTTGACTTTCACCTTCAGCTATACTTTGCATAGAGGTTCAAATTAAAACTACACTACACTTTTATTAAACCCCACGGCTGATGAATGTTTTCTTTTTGTTTCCTTCATCTATCCAAAGTCTAGCCCATCTTTGCTTTCCTCTTCTGGACGTCTGCTTTACTCTCAGCTTGTTTGAAACCCGTTTCTTATTGGAATCTCTGGTCTTTGAATACTACATTTCTGTACTGTGGGAGAGCTGGAATGTCAGTGTCACCATCCATGTAAGAAAGTGCATTTCCCATCACAGAAAGAATGCTCAAGTGCTAATTGTTTCTCTGTGTGACCCTGGCACTCCCATGCCCTTACGTCCAGCCTACCGCCCTTCTACCACTTTTTTACCTGGCCTATTCATGACCTCCAAATAATGCCCAACGTCCCTTCACCTGAAAAGTTGACCCATAAACTTGTGTCCTCCACTCTGCAGTAAAGAGGAGAAAATGTACTTTTCATATTCTCCTGTTTCCTTTGTTTCTTTTCATTCCTTTCTTTTGGAACTGGGGCAACTGCACTACTTATATTCTACATCACTACCTCTCTGATTTTCCTTTCATGCTGAGGCTACAGAGCTGCATATATATGTATTTTCCTTTTGAAATATTGGTCTGCTTTGCTCCCAACTAATAGTAATGCTTTCTTTAGTCTCCAGGGGATCAGGTCATCTGAGATAGACTCACGGTTAGCTGGGCTGGGCAGGTAACCCAAAACCTCCTCGCTGGCTCCATCGGCCTTGGGCCCAGGAGTAGCTGAGTAAATGGTGCTAGCAGTGTGTAACTGTGTAAGTTCCTTTCATTCGAGCTGTGGTGGTGGTGGTGGGGGGGGGGTGCTTCAGAGCCACTTTAATGGCCTGTCCTACCCCAGCTATTAAGCCTTCTCTAGTTTCTCTGGGCCTTCCTGCCAGATTCATATTTCAATGTTCTCAGATGAATCTGGTATCTTCGTTCCCAGAGACCCGCCCCCCCCTGCCCCCAACCCAAACTTTCCCTACTGTGGTGGCTACAGTTCCCTACCTGGATCCAAATCAGCAACTCCCTGAACTGCCTACACCAGGGGTGCCCAATCTTATCCGCAAAGGGCCGGTGTGTATGCAGGTTTTTGGGATAACCTGTAGGTCAGCTGTTCAAACCCAGGTGTGAGGACTCTTCAGCCAATCAGTCCTCTAATTAGTAATCTAATTAGGGAGTCGCAGCGAAAACCCGCATACACAGCGGCCCTTTGCGGATAAGATTGGCCACCCCTGGCCTACACCCACCACCCAGCTGTAGGTTGTGTGGCCTGGTGATATGTAGTCCTGTTCCATTGTGGATGTGCATCCAGCAGGCCCTCTGGCATGGCATAGAGTATGTATGCACTGAATGAGGATTTCTGAGTAATCAATGCGTGTGTGCAGCTGCCTGATGGCACTCTGCAGGCCCCTACTTCAATCACAGTCACTATCTTGTGTCTAATTTGTCCTGTGTAGCACTGTGTCCATGGTCGCCTATCTCTTATTGATATTTAATAAGAGAGAGGCTGATATTTACTACATGGTTTCTCAAATTTTTCAGCTTTCAACCCACAAAATAACAGTGCCAGATACTCGCAGCCCTCCAGATAGATTTTGCTGACCAGAGGGGGGATTGGGGTTAATGTTGCTCACTTGTGCAACATCAGGCCCACGGGGCAGTGCCGCAGCTTGTGTGTTTCCCTGGGCAAGAGGCCTAACCCGTCTCCACGCATGGAGGTCAGGTGGTGAGGTTGCAGTTAAATGAATCCACCCAGGACCCCATCAGTCACTCAGCTGCAGTTAATAGAACGGGGTCAGCCCCAAGCTGGTGCCACCGGCGCTCCCTCCACTTCCCTTGTTGCATTTGCTGTGGCCTTGGCCGATCGGTGGTTTGTCAGGCCCGTCTAGCCGCTTGCCACCTATTACCGGTGGGTCCCAAGCTGTTAATAAAGGCACCATGGCCAGCAATATATACTGCACTCTGTCAGGTGCCTCCCTCCCAATGGGGAAATAAATATCCCATTAACATGCTTCTCCTCATTGGCCTTGACAGCTTGATCAATTAACCGTCCTTTTCAGATGACCTCCACGCTGCAGTGACAAGGAGGTGAGGCCACAATGAATCGCCTGGTCATGTAATGTTCTGCACTCTGCAGCAGAGGTTTCCACTGTGCCTGTCTTTGCCTCAGCCTTTGTTTTACTTTGTCTGTGCACTTTTAGACAGTGGAGGGAAATAACAGAATCATTTGGTGTGTACAGTGGACAAAGAGGTACACCTGTGGGTAGCAGGAGTTCATGAGAGGCTAGTGGCCCATTTCACTTGAGATGCATCTTATTTGTGAGAGAACCAGCAAATAAGTCAAAACTGGAGGGAAGGCCCTGCAGATCTGTTTGTTTTTGCATGTAAGCAGTTTGAAACTGTTTACATTCCCTTCTTGTTGGCTTTCAATGTGCAGTTAAAAATTACTTTGCTAAAGCACTCAAACAATATGAGGAGTACAGTGGAGAATTTGTATATAGCGGTTTGTTAATGTAGGGATCTCAGAAGTGTCAGTAAGAATACATAGGACAAATGTGAAAGATAAATGAAAGATGTCCCACTAATATTAAAATCTTATAGCATCTGAGATTGTAAATCACAATGATTCTCTGTAAGCACTAAACTAAAGTTCAGGGGCTGCTTGCAGACTGACTTAGTGTTGGGAGGCATCCTCACTCTGTCACTTTTTTGAAAGGAATGTAAATAAATACTGGTCAAGAGGGAGCTTGCAAGGTTTTTGTGTGCCACAGTCGTCTCATCAGACTGGCTCGGCACTTAATTGGAAACAGAGCTGCGGGGACTAGTGCGCTCTTATACAAACACAGACATGGGGATAGAAGCCAGACAGCTGCCGGTGGGTTGACAGAATTTGGTCAGTGTTTTGGTGGAGAAAAGACTACAAGTTCAGAATACCACCTTAAGGACCACCAGTAACCACGATTGCATTGCAAGCTAACTCTGAATGGGCAGGAGGCCTAAATAAAGGATTAGCTTCTGTTAAAAGATGTGACATCCCATAATGCCTTGCTTGATAAGTAAGGCCGTTCTCCCCAGACTGGCACGTGTCAGTCACATCCAAGTCCACAGGTTTCTCCTGCACGCGTTGTCTGCTCCTTCCCATCCGAAGGCCTTGCTGGTACAGAAAATAAGCCAGCTGTAACAAATATGCATGGGCTGAAACTGAATAGTGGCCTCCTATATGCATAAGACTAAATGGCTCCTGCTGAACTTGCAGTCGTGTGGGGGCTGTAGCATTAACCTGTTTCATGACACAGTGATAAGAATTGTTGCAGTCTTCTCGTCTGGGAGACCTAGTTACCTCAACCCATTTCTTCAGTCTTATTCATTCATTCATTTATTCATTTTCAGCTTAATGCTATCATCTTTATAACCACCCTAGATCATGCAGCTTTTGCGTTCCTGGCCAGCAAGGCCCTCCTTTGAATGGGCTCTGTCATCCCTGCCACCTGGGCCAGATGGTGAGGGCCTGCCTTAGAGCCTAATCTTGCTTGGGGAGTATGAGAGTCATTTCACTGCAATATAATTGGGCTACAGAAGAAACAATATTTTCTTTGTGAGCTTGAGTCTCCATTCATATGGAGGTTAACAAATGTCCTTGCATTTACCTGTGGTGATTACAACAATGGTGCTTCTGTAAGAGAGGGGAGAACTGTTTATGGTGAATTCCAACAGAATTTCTTAATTTCTGAGAAAAAAATGTCTGTTAAAATGCTATAAGGTGGAAACCCCGTTACATTTATTATTGTATAACAAGTGATTTGCTGTTCCTGGCCACTTTGTTTTACTTATTTTATTAATTAAGGATATGATCATTAAATAATGACCAGTGTTTTGATTTAAAGAGCATAATGTTTTCTTCTGCTGGAAAATAAATTAAATGAGGCAGTCAAAGGCATAGCTATATTTACATGGACATATTTCTGGAATATTTGCTTATTTCCAGTTGATTTATTCTATAAAACATCCTTAAAAGTAGTTATCATTTCTGCCTCGGAGTAGAGGAAACCATTTTATTAACACAGTGCACTTTTCATTCTGCTGAGATTGAAGCAAAGCCAATCAAAGATGGAAGCACAAGGTGGAGTAAGGTTTCAGTTGTTCTGCCAACTACTGTTACAGGAGCTGTCAGTCAAATGCATCCACCGTATTTTTTTCTCTTCAGTCTGACCAACACAGTATTGGCTTTTGATCTAAATAGTGCTTTGTAGGATTTTGTGTCAGTTGTGGTTCAGCCCCAAGTATGAAGTGAGAATAGCTGGTTATGGGGTTCTGTATGGACCCTTCGGTTGTATTTCAGCGGTATGTGCTTCCTGTTGGTGAAACTAAGTATCTGTCTGAATTTTCCTTCTGTTAATGTAGTCAAGTTGTTTTTTTTTTTTGTTTTGTTAATACCCCCACCCACCCTGAGTGTTTGCTTAGGCCTAAATGTTTTATCCATGTTATGTGCCCTGATTAATGTGTTTATTAGTCAGCTAGTTTAGTGAGGTCTCCCATCAAACTAGTGTTTGGAAGTTAGCATTCTTGGCATCTCTACCCCCTCAGCTTCTGCCTGCTGAGTTGCAGCCGCTTATTATGTCATCTTTGGCATTACATGGTTTTGGAAGAGTTGTCATTCAAATCCTAATACGACAAGACTGTTGTGTGTGTGCCGTCAGGTATCATTTTCAATATGCATTTTCCCTTAGGACGCCCTGGTTCAATGGATGGGGCTTCAACTTGCCCCGGGGCCAGTCTCTGTTGGACAAATGGAACCAAGTGCCAGAAGGCCTCGACATTCTCATGACCCATGGACCTCCGCTCGGTGAGTCCGGTTAATCCTGGTCCGTCATTAAGCCGAGGCTTAATTTATGTTTTTTAGAAAATCTTTCTAACCATATTAGAATTTGCATAATTTCCCTCCTTAAATTTATTCCCTTACAGTTGTTATATTTTGTGTATTTTTGTTTTCCCCGGGTGAAAAATATGTATGGTTTCAGGGACAGTCAATCACTACAATCACTTGACGAATCTTTGTCGTTAAAGTAATTAAAATAAATTAACTGTGCCACTCGGTGGCATTTTACCATCATGAGCGTGAAAAATCAAAAATGCTTTGATGGAGTGTATTACCATTTTACAAAAAAATTTAATGGATGAAGATGTACACCTGATGTAATTTTGAGACATATTGTACCAAAATTGAAGCAGCGACGCTAGGTAGCAGTGAAGGACGGAAAGGACAGCTATAGAAGACACTTGACCTTGTGCATACAGCAATTCTATAAGTATTTAAAACTTCCCAGGAACATTGTATAGGGTAATGATCTGGAACAATTCACACCGAGATTGAAGCAATGTCATTTAATGAGGGCAAAGGGGAGAGCAGCTGCAGATAACAATGGATCTTGTGAACATGATAAATCAAAAAGTATTTGATGGATCTTTTTATAATTTCTGAAAAAATTATATGCATGAAAATCTATATACATTTTCATTTGCATGAAAATTGAAGATGTGCCACATGCACTATATGGACAGAAATATTGGACCATTACACCCACAGGAACTTTTATAGTAGCCCATTCTAAACCCTTAGGGTTCAATATGGAGTTGGTTCCCCCTTTGTAGCAATAGCAGCTGCCACTCTTCTTGGAAGGCTTTTCACAAGATTTTGGATTATGTCAGTCACAGATGCAGATTTGGCAAACCTGATTACATTGAGACAAGTAACACAAAGTTGGGCTTTTAATAAAGATTTTTTTTGGAGAGGTGGTGAGACTGCATCAGTGACCTAGAGAGTTTAGAGGTTGGAGGGTTTGGGAGGAGTAGTGATTAGATGGTGGGTGTTGGGGGTGTCTGTGGAATATCATCATTGCCATTCTCACAGTATGTAGTTTTTGCTGTGTACTCTTTTTTTCTTGCATGGTTCCAATTTCTTAGCAGTGATGGTTACTTTACTAAACCAGTGTAGGTTAGTGAACCTACAACAATTTGTAGCACTGAAAAGGCTGTGCTGAGAGAGTACATCTGGTTACAGGGTAGCTCTGAATTACTCGGGCCATCTCATCTGCAGGGTTCCGGGACTGGGTTCCCAAGGAGCTTCAACGGGTGGGCTGTGTGGAGCTGCTGAACACTGTGCAGAGAAGGGTTCGCCCCAAGCTTCACGTCTTCGGAGGTATCCACGAAGGTGGGTTGTGCTCACTGCTGTATGCTGCTCCTATCAGCTTTTTTGCTTTGAGTTATTGATCTATGTGAAGTGTTTCGTATTCCTAAATGTATGCTTCTCTGTTGATTGAAGATTACCTGATGTAAAGAATTTGCGTAGGTATGGATCACAAGTAGATCGGAATAATCTCACACATTTGTCTGTAGTGGAAGCATCTCACCCCCCTTTTCTACTCAAAAACCTGAAACTGGCCCAAAAATCCAGTAAGGTTTTCATGCGGGGATATCCTTAGGACTAGAGTATGTGTACAGGTAGTTCTCATCTTTGTGAGCTAATTTGTTCCAAATTATTGCTCATTAATTGAGAACTTATATTGTATTTTGCCATAGAAATGTTATAAAAATGATGACTTCATTTTTTCAAATTTTGAATGAATTCATCTCAAATTTTTCAAAATTTTTTGCCAAATTAACAAAGGAAATACAAATGTATTATCAGAATTAACATTTATTCAAAAATATACATACATGTAAACTAAAATTCCTTGGAGAAAGACAAAAACACTCTGCTATGATTGTAACATTCACATTCAATTTTGGTCACTTTGATTTTCAGCAGATGTGGTGGTTTTATTCTTCATGTATCCCATTCTGAGCTGGTAGAGATCACTCACAAATAGTACATAAAATTAACCTGGTGTATTAACAGGATCAGGTTGGGTCTGACCACATGCCATAAGGTGTAATGCTGTGTATGCTCAGACACGCAAGGTGAAAATCGAGCGTGCACAATCAGATATTTCACAAAGCAAATATATACACTTTGACACAGCTTTAATTCAAGGGGTTCAACAAAAATAGTGTATGACCCATTTAAGAATTTCCTCCTTTTTATCAGTCCTCCCATTATCAGGGTCTCAAATGTAATTGCACAAACATCATTTTTAATACTGGGTGGAAAATTGTTTGAAAGTCTGGCACCTCTGGATATGTTAGGTTTCCTCAGTGGTGATGCTTTGCCAGGCCCTTACTGCAGCGGTCCTCATTTATTGCTTGCTTTTTGGTCTGTCTCACTTCAGTTTTGTCTTCAGTAAGTGAAGACATCATGCATGTTCTATTAGGTTGATGTCAGGTGACTATCTCGGTCATTGAAGATTATTCCACCTCTTTGCCTTGAAAAGTTTTCAGTTTACTTTTGCAGAATGTTTTGGGTTGGTGTCCATCTATACCAAGAGGCACCATCCTATCTCTAGTGCATCATTTGGATGAATCTAAACCAATCATATTGCCCTATACCCTTCAGAATTCATACTGTTCTATCAGCAGTCATATCATCACCACTAGTGACCCAGTTCCTTTGGAACCATACAAGCTCAATGCTGTTGCCTGCATCACATTTCACAGGTGATGTGGTATGCTTCGGATTGTGAACCGTTCCTTTCCTTCTCCGTGCTCTTCTCTTCCCATCATTCTGGTACAGGTTGATCTTAGTTTCATCTGTCCAGAATTGAATAGACTTTTTAGATTTTTTTTTTGGCAAAGTCTAATCTGGTCATCCTATGTTTGAGACTTTCCACAGGTTTGCACCTTGTGGTAAAACCTCTGTATTTATTTTAATGAAATCTTCTCTTAATTGTAGAATTTGAGAATGATATACCTACCTCCTGGAGAGTATTCTTGACCTGCCTAGATATTGGGTTTTTTCTTCAAACACACAAAGAATTTTGCAATCATCCACCACAGTTACATTCCTTAGTTGTCCAGGCCTTTTGGTGTTGCTGAGATCACCCGTGTGTCCTTTCTAAGATATGTACCAATTGCTTCTGCTGTCTCTCCAATTGTTTTCTCAGCCTAACAATGACCTACTTTACTTGCATTGACAGCTCTTTGGACCTCATATTGAGAGCTCACAGCAACAGATTCAAAATCCAAATCACACACTTGGAATAGACTCCAGAGCTTTTACCTGCCTAATTGTTAATGAAATAGCAAGGGCACAGCCCACGCCTGGCCATGAAACAGCTTTGTCAGTCAATTGGCCAATTCCTTTTGAGCCCTGAAAATGGGGGAACTACATACGAAAATGGCTGCAATTCCTAAATTATTCACTCAGTTTGGATGTAACTACACTCAGGTTCAAGCAAACAATCTTCACTTTAAGCACCACATTCATTAACTTCAAATCTGATATTTTTGGTAAAAAGTTAAGCTCGATCATTCACCTAACCGTATATATATTAAGAACATAAACTCCCAGCCCTCGATGTGTGAGGTGAAAGTACAGTCTTCCTTCTAGAGTTGCAGGTTTGCTTTGAAGTTAAACATGCATGTGTAACTGCAGCATTGCTGTCTGTGTTTTGCAGGTTATGGCATCATGACAGATGGGTATACAACATACATAAATGCCTCCACCTGCACCGTCAGCTTCCAGCCCACCAACCCCCCTATAGTCTTTGACCTCCCCAATCCCCCAGCATCCTGAAACCACAGGGCAGTTGGAAATGACTTTTTTTTCTAAAAATAAGTCAAATGAATTCTACTAAATACATGTTTAGATTTGCTTTCCAAAATATTGTTCTTTTGTAATTTCCTGGTTCAAAAACCTTATGAATGCCAGATTTGAAGATCAGAAATTAGTATTGAAATTGGATTGGATCTGTAAAATAACAAAGCTTTGTGAATTTGTACAATTTCCCTGCATATTTTGCTTGCATTTGCTGGATATGTTGATATTAAATGCCATTGTAAGTTTTTATGTACCTTTTTAGGACAATTAAGCTTTGTTTTGGCAGAAATACTGCCTTAAACTTTAGCTTTACAGTACTTTGGGAGAATGTTGTTGCTTGTAGCAGAGAAGTAGTTCCTTATTTATTTTCTGTTACCAATTAGCAAATAAAACATTCGATTAAAGGATCACTAAAGTTTATGGATGAAATCCTTAAAAAGACTATTTAAAGCTAATGTGCTGTTCTGTAGATAATTTGAGAAGTGCTACCTATATATTATGCTAAATTTCTTTGTAAATGTATAGCAACTTACCACCAAAAGAGTTCTATGTTAATTCTATGTTATATGCTTAATGTGGGTTTATGTATCTATGTAGGTATGTGTGTGTATGTATGTATGCATACAGGTTTAAGAACCACACGTACAGTCACCTGTTTCTCTATCATGCAGTATGGATTCCATCGTGATCCAGTTTTCCTTATGCACGCAAGAAATTAATCATTTGAGCATAAGGAATTTGCAAGATATTTTTATACATCTGCCTAAACACAGTTTACTTGTCCTTTAAATCTTAAATATTATTGTATTTGCGTTTATATTGTCCTTTTTTCTAATTTTTGCACTGTGTGTAAATGCAATCTTGCTAGCACAAAAAAAAATGTTGCCAATAGTTGTGTGAACTTCGCAAATGTAAATGCCCCATTCTCTGATTGCAGACTTAGTTTCCTTCTTTATGGGAGTTTAGCGCTGCTTCTATCTTTGTGTTTATTGTGATATATTTAGCTGCCTTTATATGCAAATAGAATTGCAAGATTTTTACTTATTAAATACATGTCTGTTTTTAAGAAAACGTTTCATCTTGCATTGATATTGTTGTGCAGATAGTGACAGCATTTAATTCATACATTTTATATAAAATTCAACATTGAAATCATATTTATTTTGTGTGCAGTTGTGATTTTAAAACCTAGTCCGGCCCTTCAATAACACCCTTAATTTCACAGGTGCTCTTAATTACACTTTAAGTTTTCTTTTAGAAACGCCTTTTCACACCAGTAACATCTACATGGCTTTTGTACCTGACATGGACCCTCCAGTTATTTGCATTAAAACCTTTCTTTGACAAGCTATATTTCTCACTATTTTTCAGGGAATTTGGAGTACTTGTGGATTTGATTACTTTAAATGTTGATATTCTCTAAAACTTTTTCCAGATATTTGACCTGGATCAGCTAATTCATACTAATTTAGCATATGAATGTCTGATTTACTCCTGTTTCTCATTTCAACTTTGTGTTGTTTGAATCATAGCATATACTGGGAAGATGGGTTTTGAAAGTGATCCCAGCTGAATAGTTATACCGACTAGCCAATTTGGGATTGCTATAATGCTTTGTGAGGTACCTAAAGTCATTGTGGTTAAAAGACAAAAAACAGACACTACACTAGTAGAAAAAGTGATTGTCTTGCAGTTTATATTCCTATTTGTAGGCCAATTTTATTGTAAAACCAGATATTAAGTCTTGTGCATTAAAACATTCATGTGAGCACTCTTGCTCAGGAGCATTTAATATTTAACACAGTTAAATTATCACTCTCTTGCTGTCAGAAATTTAACATTTCTGGGAGTGGCTGTGAACCCAAATGCTTCATCCACAAATGTGTATCATGTCTATGCTTCATGTTTGATTTTGTATTTCAATCCTCAAAGATCTACAGGGTTAGTATGGAATATCACTCTTGGCTATGAAGTCAAATCCCAGCTCTTTCTAGCTGAAAGCTGGAGCAAATTTCAACAAGGCCAAAAAATTCTGTTCCCAACCCTATCTCTCAGTACTCCACACATCAAAGGTACCAAACCAATTAACTTTTCCCAAATGAGAGTAAAAAATGTGCCCCCAGACCTGGGACTGCGTCAGCTTTCATTATCATAATCCACTCTAATCATATTAGCATAATCCTCTAAACTCATGTGAAAGCTACAGCATTCATGTGCTAGTGGTGTTCATGCATTGCTCATGTATGTGTTGCTATTAAATATTCCACAGTGGAGGTCATTCATGTGACATTAGTGTTTTGTTCACCTGTGAATGTATTCCAACATGTTCTCATGCTTTTAAAAAACACATCTCAAACATCACCTACACATTTATGCAGTTCCATTCAATTTCACAACATTACATTGTCTCAAAGTTCTTTAGATTATGCCTGCCCAAAGTGCCCAGTGAGCAAGGCAGTGGAAAGAGTGTCAAGGACAAACTCCCTGGAAGGAAGAAACCTTGGGAGGAACCAGACTCAAAGGGGGAGCCCATCCTCCAGGGGGCAGCAGAGGTACTCAAATGAACAAGTTGTGGATTTTAAGATTTGAGTCTCAATGTGGGGGTAGGCAGGTGCTGGTGCTGCCTCTGATGGCAGGGCATGAGCACTCCAACTCCACAAGGGAGTGTGAAGTTAGTGACAGCACAGTTCATCCAAAGCCAATGGCACCCATCCCCACCCAGCTCTGCATCTCACACTATAGGCCTTATTTATCAGATGGTTTGTCCAAAGCAACATACACATAAGGAGCAGAAGGCAGAATCCAGCAGCATCCCTGTAATTAGGGTCAAGGGCCCATTGGTGACATTGTCCCACAGGGTTTGTACCAGCAACCTTCAAATCACACACTGCTAATCTGCAGAGCCACACGCCACGGTCGGGAGCACTGCAGACACGCTCTAGGGCGATGGGAATGTGGTTTGTATTGCCACTGCTGCCTTACAGCTGTCATTCATAGACCAATGGTTCAGGGTTCATTTTGCCCTCTACTGTATGTCAACATTCTGGTCTCTCCACCCTCATGTCTTCCCTCAGCAGTTTGGGTGATGGGGGTTGTAAGAGTAGCAAATGGGTAGAACCATCCTGGGATTTCCTCTTGGGCCTTCAGGAACTATTGTGCTTGCGATCACAACCTCACACGCAGAAACACAAGCACATAGTGCCCCTCCTCCTGTCCCTGCTCCAGTTTTTCACATTTCTCACGTTCATAAGTGAACAGGCATCTTGAGTATGACTAGGTCAGCTGCAGCGATTTCAAAACATAGCCTCAAAAATGAAATTTAAAGCAAAACAAATGTCAGCATTGAAACAGTTGCTAGTTACAAGTAGAACTGGACATAATCAGAGTAAATTTACTTCCTGTGTATAATTAGGATGTGTCACCCAAGTGCAAAGGGAGTGCAGAGTTTTCAACCACAGTCATTCATCACCCTGCATTGTTACAGACCCCTGACATCACTGGGAAACACATTTGTGATAAAATTCCCAGTTTTTAAAATCCTGCTGTTTCCAGTGTCTTGTTCTAATGCTCTGCACGTGTGTGTGTGGGGGGGGGGAGGCTGTCTGTATCACACCAAGCTTTTATTGCTGGGCCAGATTGCAAAGTCTATTAATTATCCACCACTGACACCAGCAGGAATTAATGGGTGTACTTGACAAGGTTGGCTATTACCCTATGTTGTCATGACAGCTGCTATTGATATTGGAAATTTGTCAACTGAGCTTGCATTGGGCCTTGATGGATGCTGCAAGTGTCTGGGTGAAGGCTGTCACCCCCTCAACCCTAACAGGCTTTCAGGCAGCTGGGGAATGCGGGGCCACCCGTAAATTACTTAAATGCACGCTGGTATGCAGCTCAGAAAACTCTTTCATACACCACCCTCAAGAACAAGGTGTTAACATGTGAGGGGCAGTCTGTGTGTCAGGACTGCCATGGGGAATGTTTATGGTGCCGTTATTACACCCTCCAATTTTTACTGCTGTCATCTGGAGTTCATCTGGCTCACACTGCGATGCCCATAAATAATATTTTAAATCGAGTGGTAGATAGCTAAAATTGTGACCTTTGCATTTCATACAAGTGAGCCTTACCCTGACATGTATACAATGGATGCAACTCTTTTTAACATTTTGAATGTGGAGTATGCTATTCATATTGTGGAACGCAGGCTTAATAAGGCGATTGTGAAATATCTATCATTCATGACTACTTACCAGTACAGGGTTAGAGTAAGCCTGCAGCCTATGCCAGGAATCATGGGGCATGAGGCAGGGTCACCCTGGATGGGGTGCCAGTTCATCACAAGACATATACTCACATGTATAATCATATACTATAGACACACTCTATAAAAACCATAATTTAAATAACTGCAACTAGAGCATCAGAAGGAAACTCACGTAAACACACATACAGATGGGTTTAAAAATATAAGCATATTAAAATATTTTTGACAAAAAGAAGAGAGGACGGCTTACGCATAGCATGCAGATTGAAAGAAAGCGAAGGTTCACTTGCTAAAAATATCTGCATCACATGACCAGATCCAATTTATGATCTGTGAAAATGCTGGCTAGATTAGCACATCTGGAAGAAAGTCCATACTGGAGTTGTAACCTGATATTACATTTAATTAGCGCCATTCTCCAGGCTTTGTTTTAAAACTCAAATATTTTGTTACTGCTTTTTTTTTATTATTTATTTTTATTTATTGATGTTAAAGTTTTAAAAGGATTTTTATTTTATAGAACAATCACTGCTTTCATTTCTTTGAAATTTCCTTTTTTTTCCTTTCTCGGATTTCACATGGTATTCTCTGAATTTAGCTGAATTTGCTCTCATGAATGACAGCCCTGAAAATTCTTTGATCTAAAACATATTTGAATTCACAATTTAGAACATCGACAAATGATATCACATACATTTAATGTCAATTCATCTGTTTACCTCTGCCCACTTGCTGTTACAGCAGTAGAGATGAGTTGGGCTTTATTCCATGTCATTGAAAATAATCAAAGGCGGCTGTGAGGCTGATCTATCCCCAATATGAGTCACTACTGTGCTTTTATATGAGTTCAGTACCAGGGTATCATGGTCTCAAACATGATTAATCTGCATAAATTGCCTTCTTTATATTGTGTGAAATATACAAGTCACTGCAAAATGTCAGGAAAACAGTTTGAAGCTACAACTCTGGTACCGATTTAATGTCTGTCCACCCATCCATTTTCTGAAACCGTTTGTCCAGAGAATGTGGAGCCTGTCCCAGTGGCTGTGGGTGCAAGGCAGGGAACAACCCGGGATGGGGAGCCAACCCATTGCAGGGCACAAGGCAGGAAAAACCCAGGAGGGGGTACTAACCCATTGCAGGGCACAAGGCAGGAAAAACCCAGGAGGGGGTACTAACCCATTGCAGGGCACAAGGCAGGAAAAACCCAGGAGGGGGCACTAACCCATTGCAGGGCATGCTTACACACATTTCACTCATACATGCACACCTATGGGCAATCTGGTAACTCCAATTAACTTCAGTATGGTTTTGGACTGTGGTGGGAGTGGAGGGGGGAGAAACCCCACAATGACAGGGGGAGAACATGCAAACCCCACACATGTAGATACAGGGTGGAGACTTGAACTCCGGGGTATGAGACAACAGGACTACAGGACTATCCACTGCACCCTCCCCCTTTCATGCAAGAAGTCAAAGCGAAAAGAATGTTTTACTGTTTTCACAAATGGTTACAATCACATGTGTGCGGTGGTTACACTACACACATCTGATTATAGTAGCACAACTGTCATTGTGAGCACACCTATTCCTTTTGGAGAAACACCTTTGTCAACAATAAAAACAATAACCAATGCAAACAATGAATCAGAAGGATTAATTCCGTTCCCTATTTATTCCAGTAACCAGTAAGAGTACAGTGGGGAAGAGGAAACATAGATATCAAATAAGATGAGATTTTGGTTGATGGTATCATTAACCATGGCATGACAGTGTGAGAAGCTAGGCAGTGAGTCCAGGCCAATTTGAGTCTGCACTATAATCATTAGGATAATTTGCAATGAAAACAGGTAAGTTTTGTGGTAAAGTTGCACATTTATAGCTTTTATA